AATGTGGATGTGATCGGACTGAGAGTCGCTGATGGTGACCTGCTCCTCAAATCTGCTCTCTCCCAGGATCAGACCCTCCTGTTGGAGGAAGTACTCAGGTCCTTTACTGAAGTAGTAGTAGTACCACAATGTGTACAAATACACAAGTACAAGTCCTAGATTCAAAGGTTCACTTAAGTAATAGAAAGTTCATACACAGTTAGTGTAACCTTGAGCTATAAAACTCATAAATTTACTATCTACTTCTCTGTGTACTTCATTTACTATTCTGTTGGATTTCCCAGTAGTTACATCACAAACCAGTGGTGGGCTGTAACTGGGCGCCAGTTTCTAAGCTATATTTAACCCAAATAAATGTCACATGTTGGGGCTACACGTGCCGAATTTACCAGGAGACCCGAATAATGTTTAATATATATTTAATCAGCTTTGACAAAATGTGTACTTGTCCGAGAATGGCACCATTTGAAAACGGCGGATTTTTAATGGAGGTCGGTGAGTTGGAGACGGTTAAGTTTAGGTTAGTTTAAAAAGTTGGGTAATGGCGTGTTGGGAGTTTTAGCTTCACGGAAACGACAAACGCTTCTCCACTGCTCCAAACCACAGTCTGAAACCTTCACATCTTAGCTATTAAACACGAACCAATCAAATTTAAAAGTCGTTAATGATGTTAGGACACTTTCGCCACTAGCCTTCCTCCTCAACCCCGAACACGTCAGAAACCGCGTAGCGGGGTCCACCGGAAACATGCCGGTTTTATCCAACTATAAATAGGTTTCTTACCACGTCTGAATCGCTGTTAACATGCTGAAACACGAGAGAAGCTAACACAATCCCGGACACACGGACAGTCGGCTCCGCCATGTTGTTTGTTGACTACACTGATTGTTGCGTTAGAGGCGTCACTGAAGCGCAACATAACCGCAGTAACATAACCGTCTGCGCTTTTCTTGCGCAGTTGGACGTAAGGAAGCTGCTGCAGGGGCGTGTTTTCAGCCAAAGCACTGACTCGGCTTTGGACGAGGAGCTACAGGACGTAACGTTTCACACTGCGGCATCTCAGCAACGGTCAGGTATTCACCTTAACAACACGTCTGTGTTTGTCGTTGTTTGTAGGTGTTTAGTTTGTCTGGTTTGGATTAGTTCCGGTAGCCTGACGCTGTAAGACTGACTAAGACTTGGACCAACGGTGGGGACATTTCCACCAACATACAGCAACACTCGGGGACAAATATAACAACTTAAGAACATTGTTACTAGGGAAGTTAGGTGTGTTTTCATATAATATTGTATTATCACATTATCATTAACGTCTAGCAGCATTTTAATGTTGTAGCTGACTCACAGTCACTTAACCAACGTTACTTTATTAATTGGTTAATTAAGCATATACAAATACAGCATATTTTATAAGATAATCACATAAATCCCAATCTACATATAAGAAGTCCAGTGTTTCCCTCTGAAATGTTGTGGAGGATAACACACTACATGTAACTCCAGATTGTTGTATAGTTACTGAGTACAGTTTAGAAGTACTTCAGTTTTATGCTAGCTAGCTACTTTTTACTGTACTACATTGGTCTGGCAGCTGTTGTTCCTAGTTACTTCTCATGAGGATCTTACAGTAAGTGTTTACCGTCTTGTCTTGAGGCTGATGTCATTAGCTTTGCAGGCGTCTGGTCATAAACATATTTGTTTCCAAGTCAGAGGATCGGGGGGAACATGGAGGAACCACATTCCCTCCTACCCTGTCCACTAGTTCAGCGGTGGACTGACGTCCCTAGAATGACTGTTAATTTGCATGGACTCTGGTGCTGTGTCCTGTGCTGCAGGTGATGACGTGACCTCAGAGCTGCCACAGCTGTCAGTGATGGAGGGCCTGTGGTGTGTGGCTGCAGGTGTGTTCCAGGTGTGGATGTTTGTGGTGGTGTTCCTCATCATGCTACCTGCCATGTTCGGGGTCTCCCTGGGTGTCACTGGGGTCTACATCCAGGTCCTGGTCAAGATCCTTGAGGTGACTGTTTCCTTTCAGATTGCTCTGTGTGGAGTTGCACTCAGTGCGTGTTCGCCCTCTCCTCTGTGGGCAAATATACGGCAGCAGGTCCCAAGTCAGAGGTCATCTGACAATTACTTTGTTTTGTAGTGGGCCACGATACGAATCCAGAGGGGCCAGAAGGAGCAGCCCGGTGTGCCCGTCCCTCTGCCCGCTGGTGAGTCCGTCATGTTACATTACCTGTAGTCACAAATATATATATGTACGATTAAGAAACTTTGATTAACACGAAGGTTTCATCAGGCTCACTACAAATCACTGGTCAAATAAATGAACAAGTAAAAAATGAAAATAAAACTGAATATAAAAAAGAAAAGAAAAGAAAAATTCTAATTTAACAAAAGTGTAAAAAATAAGAAAGAAAGAAAGTCACTTTCGGCTTTTCCCGTTTAGGGGTCGCCACAGTGAATCGTCACACTGACGACTGACATGTTGACATTTGGCACGTGTTTTTTACGCCGGATGCCCTTCCTGACGCAACCCTGATTCGAACCCGGGCTGCAGAGGCGAGAGCGCTGTGCCTTAACCACTAGCCTTCAGATTGTTAGTAGTTTAAAAATAATAAATAAAATAAAATGTAACCATTTTTTGATTTTGACTTGGTGGTGAAAGCATTTAGAGGGACTTACATCTGAGCGTGTGCACAATCAGCCGGCGTGCGTTTGGACTAAACCCTCCACAAAGTGTCCTTCAGGTGTCGGCCGGAGCGTCGGTACAGAAACTGTCCGGCTGGATTAGAATCAGCCTGCTGATGAAAACCAGCACAGAAGTCGAATCAGGACCGGCTGGTTTCAAAGCAGCATGTCTACAGTCTCCATCACACTCCTGTCATGGTGTTTTTTATAAACAGGATCCAGGCTGATGCAGCAGAACCACAGATATCACCTTTTCATTCCACATATCCTCCTCTGTCAAACCCTGTCGCCGACATAATGCACCTCAACCACCAACAATAGGTGGAGTGTGTTATGCTAGTAGCAGGTAGTGTTTCCTGGAGAAGAGAAGCAGTGACAGACATCTGTCAGCTCGCTTCCTTCCAACTGCCCGTCCCCAGAGTCTTCCCACAGCAGTGGGAGTAGTGTAGTACTCCCAGTACTCCCAGCACCTGGAAACACCAAAGTAGGGCTCCTGTTTCAGTCTAAGTCAGGAAACAAAAGCCTCTCATGCAGTTACACCAGAGCAGAAATGATTAGCTATGTAAAAACTGATTAGTTGATCAACAGGAAACTAATCAGCTCTTTTAATAACTGAGTCTTTTTTAACCACAGTGCCAAACAGATTCAGGGTGTGAGGTTCTGGTTCTGTCCTCTGTTTGGTTTCACAGTCCTCTGAACATGTCGGCCGAACATAAAACAACATGAAATATTTTACTGGTCAAGAAAAATAACCAGCAGATGACCAGTAAAACTAGCTGCAGCCGTAGTTTACCCGCCTCAATGAGCTGAAGCTGATGTTTAACCTACACGCAGCCAAACAGACGAGCGTGTGCAGCCGCCTGACACGAGGCGGTCATGAGCCCAGCAGCTGTGCTTCCCTGTTTGTGCTCAGTACTTGGTGTCCTGCCCTGTGACAGAGGTCATGTGATGCTATGTGAGTGAGTTTCTGGGCTCCTCATTGGTCGGTGTCACTGTCTGATGTCGGGGGGCTGTGCGGCGTGGAAAGCACATGGCTCATCTCAGGATGATGATGCAACAGCAGATTGTGTAACTTTGTCCAAACAGGCGCCTCAGGGCCGTGGAGCTGCAGCCACGGGTCACAGCCCCCACAGCTTTAACCCTTTCACACCCATGACCGTGTTCAGTGACGACTGCAGGGAAAAGCAAAAATCCTTCTGAGCGGTTTTCAGCTGGCTGTGCATGACCGGCCCGGTACTGCAGTAGTATAGTGCTAACTGTGACTGTTTCCCAGGGATCATTGAGCGAGCGGCGGGCTCAATGGAGGAGGAGATGGGGCAGCTGCAAAGCCCCCGCTCCCTGGAGGGGGGGCACTTTGCTCTGAGCGACGCCTTCTATTTCTACAAGAAGGGCATGGAGAGCATCGTGGACGACCAGGTGATCCAGCGCTTCTCCTCCGAGGAGCTGGCCTCCTGGAACCTCCTCACACGCACCAACCAGAACTTCCGCTACATCAGCCTCCGCCTCACTGTCATCTGGGGCCTCGGGGTCTTCGTGCGCTACTGCATCCTCTTACCCCTGAGGTCAGAGCATGAAGAGTGCTGTGAAACATAAGCTGTAATAAACGGACTTCTCCGTTACTTTGTCCTCTGACTCTCATCGTGTCCCCCTCCTGCAGGATGACTCTGGCCATCATCGGCCTCTCGTGGCTCGTCGTCGGCACCACCCTGGTTGGATGTCTGCCTGACAGCAGGTACGGCGGCGCCGTTAGCACATTGTGCTGTTTCTACAGCGAAGTGCAGGTGTTCATGTCTCCTGTGTGTGTCTCAGTGTGAAGGACTGGCTCAGTGAACTGGTCCATCTGACCTGCTACAGGATCTGTGCCCGGGGGCTGTCGGCCACCATCCACTACCACAACAGGTCTGGTTCCTTAGCTCCGTCCTTAGGGTTCACACACCAACAATGTGGACAGTAACGCTGACTCAAGTACTGCATTCTGAGGCACATGTACTTCACTTTGTTTCCTACACTACTAGTTTCAGATTTTACAACAGTTTCTAGAGTAAAGAGGTATAAAATGGAAATACTCCAGTACAAGTGAGCACTTCCACTGCCGCCAATGAAGCCACGTGACCTGTGTGGTGCTGTGATTTCTCCAGGGAGAACAAGCCTCAGAAAGGAGGGATATGTGTAGCGAACCACACCACTCCGATCGATATGGTGATCCTGGCCAACGACGGCTGCTACGCCATGGTGAGTTATCATCAGCCCAGCAGGTCAGTGTGCCGATGCAGTAATGTCACCGCTCTGCTCCCGGTCGTCCTCAGGTGGGTCAGGTCCACGGGGGTCTGTTGGGGGTCCTTCAGAGGTCCATGGTGAGGTCCTGTCCTCACGTCTGGTTCGAGAGGTCGGAGATGAAAGACCGCCACGCCGTGACCAGCAGGTGAGGCAGGACTTCAGATGACAGCAGTAGATTGACCGTCACTGCTTCAGAGGAACTTGTTAGTGCGACCCAGTAAAGACATAGTCAAACCCTGGGGGACTACATTTCCCACAACCCTTCACCAACTCTCCCTCCTACAAAAGCACAGAACTGTAACCTGCTCAGACTTTAACTCTCATCTGCTTCTGTCTCAACAAACTCAACTCGTCACAATTTATGGTAAACACATCCAAATATGCCCTTTTATATAGAAGTTGTAGTTCCAGATCACCTGAGGTCTGATCTTCAAACAAACCCACAGATTCACTCTTATAAAACGAGGTGGCCAACAAATCTTCGTGTTCCCAAACACCTGACAACCAGACGTTAACCTCAGCCAGATACAGGCTCCAGATTTACGGAGCACAATCACAGTCTGAATGCTTTTCAGGCTCCTTGTCGTCAGCAGTGTTGAGGACGTGCAGTGTCGCTGAACTCCCCTCTGCTCCTCTCTCTGCAGGCTGAGAGCGCACGTGGCAGCGAAGACCAAACTTCCCATCCTGATATTCCCTGAAGGTCGGTCTCTGCGGCAGCTCGTCCCTGGAGGATGGTGGTGGCTTCATGGTCAGATAACTTCTGCATGTGTTTGTTTCCAGCAGGAACCTGCATCAACAACACCTCAGTCATGATGTTTAAGAAGGGCAGCTTTGAAATAGGAGGGACAGTCCACCCCGTGGCAATCAAGGTGAACCGGATGAATGAGTTTAAGATCCACGTTTCTTAGGCAGCTGACCCCTGACCCGTTTGCTTCAGTTCATTTGGAACCTGTTCTATTAGAAAGTAAAGAGTTAAAGCAGAGGGGTGCTCACTGTCTCGGTGGGAGGCCGATGGCTTGGGTTCAGTCTGGTAAAGATGTGACACGTGGGGGAGTTGAGTACCTTACCTGCCTCTCCTCCTGTGTCCCAGTACGACCCCCGGTTCGGTGACGCTTTCTGGAACAGCAGTAAATACAACACGGTGAGCTACCTGCTGCGGACGATGACCAGCTGGGCCGTAGTCGTCAACGTGTGGTACCTCCCTCCCATGACCCTACAGGTACACCTCCACCTGAGGTCACCCGGCCTCCACCTCACCTGTCAGGGCAAACACACACAGCTGGTGACAGATGAAAACACAAACCCCCACCCAGCAGGGCCGAGTCTCCAGAGCCTTGTCAGGTCTCCTCTGTCGGGGGAGGAAACCTCCTCCTTCCTAACCAGATCCCCTCACTGTGTCCGACCCGCTGTGTCTGAACCCACTGTGTCCGACCTCACCGT